CCCCCGAGCTGATGCCGTTTGTTAACAGCCCCCCGAGCTGATGTCGTTTGTGAACAGTCGCTCATTTTGGCAAGACTTCTGAAAGATACTGAAAATAAGTTCTTGAAATAAGCCATATTTCAGTTTCAGTAATTCTACACATGTCATTCTCGCAAGTTTCTACACCCCCATTGACACTATTAGGAAAATTTAGGAGGCGGGCTGCATGACCCTGCCTGTGAGAGCTAACCTGGGCTGAGACAGACACAATATTCCAGTAGACAGACACGGATAGTCTAATCCATTAAAAAAAAACAACCGAAAAACCCCCCCATCCCGTCACAGGAACTGAATTCACATCTTCTGTGCACTGTGCACAATGACAGAGAGCCTAACTCTGTTAGTAGTACCGGTAGTATCGATAGTGTTGGCGTTACACCACAGACACGGGTCTATAAATCAGTGTTAAGTGTACGACTATAGTCTGTCCCCGTGGTTTTATGCACCGCGCATAATTTAACAAAATTTGATCGTTTTTTTTGTGTGCATAATTTCTGATTATTTTCCTTTATCATTCTTTATTAAGATTAACAGAATCGTATAATTTCACATTTTTGGGCTCAGTTTGCATAATTTCAGAATTTTTCTTGCATAAAACAACGGGGACAGTATAGTTATACATGTAATATGAGACTCTTACTTCCTTGTTTTGTATGTCTTGACTGTCGCAGGTGTTTGTTGCATCCTGTATATATGTGTGCGATGATGTATGTGAAAGTTACAAGTTACATGAATGATGAATCTGTGACTCTTTCAAAATTGTGCCATGTGTCTGTGTAAATTATTTCACTGATTTTTGTGTTTAATGTGCTTAGGATGTGAGAATTTGTTGGAGAATCATTCCTGTGGTGGCAGAAGAAGTTAGTTTTGTTCACGCATGCAAAGGCTAGGCCTATATTTAATATTACACAAGAGCAACTTGTCTGTAATGCCAGCTTTTATTAAAATTTGATAATGATTGAAGGTCAAGGTGACTTTGTAAACGTTGTTAATGTTTTGTCATTCAGAGATTCTTTTATTTCTTTGGGACAACATGCACTGTTTTTATGACATGGTCCTGGTGAACAATACATGGAAAAGTCAAGTCGCTGAAAATCAAACTGCTGTGTTTGTCAAATTATTTTTATGATCTTTTTGTCATCTGTTGAAATCAGTTTTTGTGTCCATACATCTACATCTCGTTCGCTTATTATAGCCTACCGGTACCTCTATTTAGTTACGGAAGTAAAGTTACTGTTGGTTTGCAGGAATTCCAAAGATATGTGTGTTCCCTGTTTTTAATTTCAGTGATTCTGTATTCCCTTCTCTTCCTGGTCTAATGCACCCAGTAATGTTCTAAATCTCTGTGTAAACACATTGTTTAATCGAGTCATTTGGTGTGTGTGTGTTTTTGGGGGGGGGGGTTGCCATCAGCTCAGGTGGGTGGATAGTAGTTGGCCGGTGCTTTGGTGTGCTGTGCTCCGTCTTTCCTACAAGCATCTATTATAATTAAATGCCTGTTGTCCTTATATCTCTCCTTCTTCTTTTGTTTTATATTCATGTTTGTTACTCTCTCGTTACTCCTCTAGTCTTCGACACTTTATCATAGTAGTTGGATACATGTAGTAGTTGGCGGGTGCTCTGGTGTGGTTTGCTTCTTCTTTCCTATCAAACGTACTCTATTGTCTTTATCTCCCCTTCTCATTTTTTATGTTTGTTACTCTCTTGTAACACCTCTAATCTTCTGGCGTTCATATGACCGTATGCAGTTGCGAGCGCCGTAAAACCTCTACTAAAAAAACTGACCTGCTTGTGTTGCAAGTTTTACTCTTACTAAAAAAACAAAACGCTGAGTTCGTATTAACATATTATTATGTTGGGCCATATGGTGCTGATGACTCTAGTTCAAATCTCTAATTAATCCATCGTTCCTGTACCTGGGTTATTTGGGGAATTTTCAGACTTCCCTCCCAATTGGTCTTATTGGAGATGGACATTGAATTCGGGCATTATTCCTCTTGAATAAAACCTAACACAGTTATAGAGTTGAAAGAGGAGTTACATTTCATTTATACCTTCTCCATACTGCTGTCCCCGTGGTTTTATGCACCCCGCATAATTTAGCAAAATTTGATCATTTTTTGCATAATTTCTGATTATTTTCCTTTGTCATTCTTTGTTAAAATTAACAGAATCCCATAATTTCATATTTTTGGGCTCAGTTTGCATAATTTTAGGATTTTTCTTGCATAAAACGACGGTGGCAGATACTGGCTCGAATGTCCAACTTTCTTACTATCTGTTGGAATTGGAGACAAGTGTGTGTGTGTGGGGGGGGGGGGGCAATAAGTTAATTAGTTTGAATAAAGGGGCCCTTAATATTGTTTCGCCAAAGTGCGTCATTGTAATTTAAAAATGTGGAAGTCTGAACCTACGCCTTTTGAACTTGATGAAAGTGAGACAGAAGGCTGTCATGGCGGTCGTAGTAAGGGGCCTCTCACAAATGACGTCAGCTTAGATTTGGTCAAAAATAGTTTTAGGGCGCCATTGGTGGGTCCTACATCTTTACTTTCCCTCTGTTGTTTCTGTCTCAACTGTCTGTCTTACATTTCCCCCAACACTAATTTATACTAAAGGCAAAGGACCTCCTTTAGGGACCGTTCACGAATGACATACAGCTCGCTCAGAGGGGAGAGGGGAGGGGATGGGCAGTGAAAAGTTGACAAAAATTGACCTGGGGGGGGGGGTTCCTTTCAAAGTTGACGTCAACCATGATGCTCTAAATGATTTGTAATGATAGATCTAACAATAACAGTAACAACAGTCTTGAAAAAAAAAGGCTCCATATCTGCTATATTCTATGTTATAGTGATTGTACTCCTACGTTAATATGGAGATGTTTGGTGCACTTGGTACTCTTTTATTATTTTGTCGAACCTGGGGTTGCTGCCAGTTAGCGACTTTAGCAATATTTGATCATTAATTTAAAACAGCTACCATTTTCTTAAAAATTGACCGAGGAGTCAAAGAATGGTACATTGTACCAAAATTCTCTGGAGAATAGGCCTTTCTTATGGGATAGGTAAGATTGACGTTCAGCTACTTTGAAAATTTAGTTTCTGGTACCCGGTACCTTTACTAAAACTAAAAG